CGTATAAGAAATGTAATAAAATATTCTCTTTAGTATTAATATTTGTCTTCTCGATAAAAATAACAAATTTAGAATTTATTAAAATTTTATATAAATAATCATTTACAAAAAAATTCACTATTTTTTTTAAAGTTAGAAATAGAACATCAGCCGCATATATCGTATCGGCTGGYGTATAAGCATTTAGCATTTTAGACTACTCAAAAAAATTTGAATATGCAATTCAATTCAAAAACTGTTATATGGATAGTCGTATATATGATTGCTTCGTATATTCATAAAATATTTAGGTTGCATATCCTGAATTGTAATTGCATCAACAGCTTCTAGTTTTAACGTTCAAAGCGCTATTCGTTCAACTTTGCTCCTGTCCATTTCACTTACACATTCGACCCGTTTATCACTTTTCTCTCACACACACACACACGTACGCACACACTCGCACACATTCAATTTGCTGGACCTTCAATCACAATAAATCCATACAAATTTCCGTTATATATCCAGAGCCCCAAAGAGGAACGACAGTAATAAAAACTTTCAAATGCAAACTAAGCAAATTTTAATTAATGAAAAATTGCAATTAAAAAAACGAAAACTTTTTTTCAGCCTGGCTATCTCGCTTCCACACAGCCTCTGCAGCTGTACACAATTTTTCATTACGTGGAAAGACGCAGAAACTAAAAAAAATAGAGAAAAAAAGAATGCAATCAAAATGTTGCCTAGTAAATGCATAAAAAACAACGCACAAATACAAACAAACAGATATGTACGCACATGTGTACTTATATAAGTACATATATACATAAATACATACATGCATGTGCGCGCATACATAAGTGTATGCGTTTGTATACGTGCATGCATGGCGGGTGGGGCAGCTGGCAAAATAGGCGTCATCTAAGCAAGCAGTGCAGTTGCAGCTGCTAAATCTGCTGCTGCCAACTGCGACAGCGATGGCGACAGCGACAGCGACAGCGACTGAGGCTAGTATCACGCCGATGCTGCTGTTAAGAATTCTGGCGTCGCTGCCAGCGTCGCCCGATTAACATAAACACGCAAAAACATTAACACCGCCACGGCCGCAGCCACAGCCAACCAAGAGCCAACGGCGCCAACAGCGACGACGACGCAGTTAGAAAGCAACAATAAAAACAACAACTGCATACGTCATACATAGATAACGCGGCGTATGTGTAATGCTAGAACGAGACAGCAAGTCGGTG